CCAGGCTGGCCTCGAACTCACAGAGATCCACCTGCCTCTGTCTCACGCACCTGGGTGACTCCTAAACTACCAGTTGAGCTGCTGGTGCAAGGTACAACATTGGCCACTGTTAGAACATAGCTGTAGGCTAACTCTGAGGAAACACTTCACGATCACATCTCAGTGATGCTGGGCTCATATATAATTTATTTAACTTTATTTCATGTGCATTGGTGGGAAGGTGTTGGATCCCCTGGTACTGAAACTACAGACAGTTGTGAGCTGCCATGTTGGCGTTGGGAATTGAACCCAGGTCCTCTAGGAAGAACAGCCAGTGCAGCCAGTGCTCTTAACCACTGAGCTATCTCTCCAGTCCCCAGTGCTGGTCTCTTAATCACTGTTAATTTCTTACCTCCAACTAACCAGCATTCACTCTCTTGTTAATCTCGGTGGATTGTCCAGCCATAGCTAAGCAGAACCACAGATTCTCAACTGAAAATGATAGAGTCTACAAGTGACTCCCAGACTTCCCTCTGGGACATCACAAGCCAGGCCTTCACAGTGTCTGCTTTGCTCCCAAATTCTTATCTTCCAAGCTTACCAAGTTTTAAACACCATGACCACAGCAACTCTTATAAAGAAAATGTTTAATTGGAGTGGCTTACTTCCAGTTACAGAGGTTCAGTTCATTATCATCAAGATGAGGAGCACGGCTGCGTGCAGGCAGAGGCGGTGCTGGGGCTCAGAGTACTACATCTGGCAGACAACAGGAAACCTCAAAGCCCACCCCTACAGTGACACACTTCCACCAACAAGGTCACACCCACTGCAGCAAAGTCACCCGCCTAATAGTACCACTCCCTATGAGATTATGGGGGCCAGTTATACTCAAACTGCCACAGTGGGCAAAACACCAGTGTACATAAAATACAAATGAGTAAATTTTAAAAAATGACCGAAAGCCACTTTGGAAGGAAAAGTTTAATTCAACACACACTCATGAGTCACACTTCAACACTGAAGGAAGTCAGGGCAGGAACAAAGGCAGGAACCTGGAGACAGGAGCTAAAGCAGAGGCCATGGAGAAATATGCGGACTGACTTGCTTCCACGGCATGTTCAACCTGCTTTCTTATGCCATCCAGGACCACCCAACCAGGGGTGGCACCACCCGCCCATCCATATCGATCATCAATTAAGAAAATGCACCATAGGCTTGCCTGCAGCCAGTCTAGTGGGGGCATTTTCTCCATTGAGGTTCCCTCTAGCAAAACAATGCCAGCCTATGCCACATTGTCACAAAACTAGCCAGCACGCGCCTCCTTCCTCTCCCACTCATTTTCTGAGAAGCCCGTAAGCAGCACTGTCCAGCTTCCCTGCTTTCCTCTGATCTAGTTTTACCTCACCAATTATATTCATCTCCGGTGGCCTTTGAGGAGCAACATGTGACCTCATATAGTTTCCTTAGCAACCCAATGAAGATAACCTCAAGATCTCCAAACAGTCTCTATGATTAAAGACAGTGAGGCGCCAGTCTGAGACACCCACAGCATGCTCTCCCAAGGTGTGCTCGTCCGCTTACGCCTTGTGCTTCCAAGCTTTTTCAGAATGTCTGCTAATGACCGTCAGCTCTACTTCATACTGGCTTGTCCTGAAGTTCTCTTTTGCATGGAAGCTACGGCTCTGGTTTTAGCTGAGCCAAGGGGCCTGATTCAGAGAACTCCTCAGGCTTGTGGGGGAGCTGGGTCTCTTATCCCTGCTGCTGCTGCTGACAGTACAGACTGGAATCCCTTCAAAACCGTGTACAGGGGTGGAGTGAATTTGGAAATATGCAGATGGAGATCTGGGAGGCGTCACATCTCTCCTTTGCCACAGAGCCTCCCAACAGACCCAGGTACTCTTCTGCCTCTAGGCATCTAAAACTGCTTTCCTTTGTACTTTATCTTTAAAAAACAAGTTTTTGAGACAGGTCTCATCTAACTCAGGCTAGCCTTGGCCTTCTACATGCTGGGATTCTAGGCTTGTGCCACCAACCCCGGCTGCTCTTCAAGATTCTAGGACTCATACAGCCCATTTGAGTTTCAGAGAGGGAGCTCAGGGCCGCAACAGCAGATGAGTGGGACTTCAAAAACAAGGGCCATGAGGCCACCTCAACACGTGTTTCACGTGGTCTAGACCCCAACGCCCACCCCTTATCTGTAAACCTCATCTAGGGGAGAAAGAATTGTCTCATTTCAGCAAATAATCAGTTTTGTGACTATAAGCACGTCACCAGCTCTGAGGCATCTGTAAAATGCTTATTACCACCTCCTCTATCTAATTAAAAAGTTAGGAGCCTGGCATGGTGGTGCACACCTTTAATCCCAGCTCTAGGGAGGCAGAGGCAGGGGGGTTCCAGGCCAGTCTGGTCTACAGAGCACGTTTCAAGACAGCTGAGGCTGTTAGACAGAGAAACCCTGACTCCAAAAATAAATAAATAAAAAAGTTTGGAAGACACAAATTAGAGATACTTCTATTTCTCAATCACAAGGAGATAAAGTAGTGCACAGAGCAGGAGAACGTTGGTGTGAGCTGTTACTTTTCTGCCTGCTTCCATACTCACCTATACTGAAATGAGCGGTACACCAAAACTTGCTTTGTTTCAGTGTACTCGGCAGAAAGGGTGACAAACATTTTGTACCCAGGTGGAAACACTTAGCAGGACTTTCTATAGCTTTCCTTCTCCATCAGAATATTTTATTCCTTCTTTGATTTTTCTGATACGTTTCATTATTGTCGATGCTGAAAAATAATGTTACCTATGCAAATGAATGCCAATCAGTAAAAATGGTTCTGAAAAAAAGTTATTCATGAGATGACCTCAGGTAGAGATGGGAGAAGTGTCACATCTTCCTCCTTAAGGGTAGGATTCAGGGCTATTTTGAGGCATAGAGAAACTTCACTAATTAATATGCATGGCTGGCACAGCAGATGGTTTGTATAGGTCACAAATGGGACACACAGTCATCTCAAAGAGGACAGCATATCCTCCTTCTCCTGCCACCAGGAAATTAAGGTAGTGAATACTCAACACTTGAGGCTAGTTATGTCTAGGGATGCTGCAAACATGTGTCAAGATGCCAGGGACCCCACTGGGTTTAGTAACCATGGAAACAGCTCCAGTTTGCTGAGGAGATCGTCATACAGACTGGCCACTCTGGCCAGGAAGGATGGGAAAATGTAACATTATTAAACCTGGAATTATGCAATTTGATGACTGAATTCTGTAATATGCAAACTATAACTCACCGAGACTATCTGGAAAATGTGGCAACAATTATTATCAATGGTATTTTGTCATTTTTTGGTTGGTTTTTGAGACAAGATCTGGTGACCAGGGGGTGGCTCAGTACTTAAAGAACCCGCAACCCCAGCCTCTGCAACCTCAATCTGATCCTCAGAACGCACATAAAGATGGACGTAGAGAACCAACTCCACAAGGTTGCCCTGACCTCCACACATGCTCCATGGTACGCTCACCACCACGCCAAGAGAAATAAAGAAAATAAGTTTTGAAATTTAACTTAAAATACAAATAAAAAGATTTTTAAAGTTGTGGTGCTGCTCTCAACGAGTAAAGTGCTCGCTGTGTAAGCCTGGCAACCTGAGTTCAATCAGTAGAGCCCACATCCAAGTGAAAGGAGAGAAAAACAAAAGCCAAGGTGTTATTCACACTAACTAAATTAGCACACTCTGAGTATACATACCACCAGAGGGAAATTGGTATTTAATGCTGAGAAAACCCCACAACACAATTTTGGGACATTGTCATCGCCAAAAGAAGGTCCTTTGTGTCTATGCGCAGCTCACAGGGCCTCTTCCTTCCTAGGTTAGGGTTAGGGTTAGGGTTAGGGTTAGGGTTTCTTTCCATCAGCTCTACCTCTCATATGCGGGAAGGGAAGCACAAACCCAAGCCCAGCCCCACAGCCAGCCTTCTCAGAGGATGCACTGTTGAGCACCAAGCTGGTTTGGCTTTGGTTTTTTTTTAAGCCTTATTGTTTTTTCATTTTATATGTGTTGTGGCTTCCAGGGTTTTGGGGGGGCCCTCCTTTTCCCCCTCTAGGAAAAACTGCAGTTAGTACTAGGACCCAGAGGCCACTCACAGCCTGGTCATTAAATGTCTTCCACATACAAATTCTGAAAAGCTTAATTCACTGCGTGGCTTCACTCATCACCACCACCACTTGTTGAAGTCTTAATATGAAAAGCAATTCAGAGTCCCAAAAGCACCTCTAGATAATTCACAATAAACTTGGGTCATCCACAATCGGGTTTAAAAATACTTTTCCAACTTTTTCACTGCCCAGCTGTGCTTGCCATCAGCCAAGCCAGTTGCTCATGGAGCTGCTATGGTCGTGAGGATTGGGGAGAGGAATGCTCCTACCTACAAAGCAAAGAGAAGAGGGAGACAGCTTGCTTAAAGTGTGGTCCCCCAGCAGCAGCAGCAGCAACAACACCCCCTTGGAAGCTTGGTAGGAGAGGACACTCTTGGGCCTGTCTAGACCAACATCAAGCTATCAGATCCCAATGCATGTGAAAATTCAAAGGACCTGGATTAGCAGTAGTGTCTATTGAATTACAGACCACAGACTGTACTTAGAAATCCAGCCAAGATTTTAGAAATAACTGAGTGAAAATATCTTCTCGAAATGTCCCTTCCCTTCCCACCCTCACCTCGGGGAACATCCCTACTTACTTGCATGTCCTCCCCATTTATTATTTATGGGAATGTGTTATCACTATGAAGCTGGCGTTTAGTATTAGACTTGCTAATTAGTTGTATCAACACACTCCTGCTGCATGTTATTGCATGCAGTCAGTTATACTGTGTGCAGCACAAAGGCTCAGCAGTCAACCTTCCAGTCAGCAAACAAGTGATGGGAGGGTCCAGAGGTGTGGCCAGTGTGGACGACAGAGACTGCTTTTCTTATGCAAAAGAGCTAAGAGCAAGACCAACCTAAAGCAGAAGCTAACCCTGCAGGGAGGAGCTCCGTGGGAAAGGCAATGCGGGCGGCCGCCTTTGCTGACTCGGATCCCAGCATCATGAACGTGTCACTTGCCTACCTCCACTTTGCAGGAGGGTACCTGCCATCTGACTCCAAGTCCTGGAGGACCATCATCCCGACTCTCTTGGTGGCTGTGTGTCTGGTGGGCTCCTTGGGGAACCTATGTGTGATCAGCATCCTCCTTCATGGTGTTTGGAAAAGAAAGCCATCCACGATTCACTCCCTGATTCTGAACCTCAGCCTGGCTGACATGTCTCTCCTGCTCTTTTCTGCACCTGTCCGAGCTACAGCATACTCCAAAGGTGTTTGGGATCTAGGCTGGTTTATCTGCAAATCCTCTGACTGGTTCATCCACACATGCATGACAGCCAAGAGTTTAACAATTGCTGTAGTTGCCAAAGTGTGCTTCACGGACGCAAGTGACCCAGCCAAGCAAGTGAGCATCCACAGCTGCACCATCTGGTCAGTGCTAGCGGCCATCTGGCTTGTAGCCAGTCTGCTTCCTCTGCCAGAATGGTTCTTCAGCACCACCAGACATCACGGAGGTGTGCAAATGTGCCTGCTGGATGTGCCCGCTGCGGCTGAAGGATTCATGTCAATGTTTGGTAAGCTCTACCCTCTCCTGGTGTTTTGCCTTCCTCTACTGCTAGCCAGCTATTATTTCCGGAGAGCTTATGGCCAATGTAAAAAACGAGGTACAAAAACACAAAAACTGAGAAACCAGGTGCGTTCAAAGCAACTCACAGTGATGCTGCTGAGCAGTGCGGTCACCTCCGCTCTTCTGTGGCTCCCCGAGTGGGTAGCCTGGCTGTGGGTATGGCATTTGAAGGCTGGAGGTCCACTGCCACCACAGGGGTTTATAGCCCTGTCTCAGGTCCTGATGTTCTCCATTTCTACAGCAAACCCTCTCATTTTTCTCATGATGTCTGAAGAGTTCAAGGCAGGCTTGAAAGGCATATGGAAATGGATAACCAGAAAGCCCGCAGCTGCCTCAGAGGGTCAGGAGGTACCAGCTCGAAACACAGAGGTCCTTCCTGACCAGGCTCCGTCTCCAGAGTCCCAAACATCCATTCAAGAGACAGACAGACCTGATTTAACCAACTCCAGCCAAGAGAAAAGTGACAAGACAGTGATTCCCATCCTCCCTGATGTTGAGCAGTTTTGGCATGAGAGGGACGCTGTCCCTTCAACACAGGACAATGACCCTACACCCTGGGAACATGAAGACCAAGAGACGAAGGGCTACAATTGATGGACTTAAGTTTCAAATAAAAACAAACTGTGATTATTGTATTTATTTGTACTGTTACTTAGCCATATTGCTGACTTAAAATTACCATTATAAATGACAAAGATGTCTTTCTGCATTTCCAAACTATACATACAACCTGGTAAGTAGATTGGCATGTGTGATTATGCTTCAGAATTCTGTCTAAAGAACTCACTAGAAGTGTTATGTAAAGAAAGCTATGTCAAAGTGATTATTGGGCTCACAGTAGCATTTCCCCCAAGGTATCCCCTAAATATAGGCCTGTACTGCACTGGCTAGAGAAGTTTATCAGACTGAGCCCACATAACTCTATATTCTTCCTGAAACTGCGAGCCCCAAGTCAGCAAATTATATTTCACCTAAGTATAGTTCAAAATCTACATCTACTCTGGCTTTCAAAAATTGTAAATTTTACTTGTTATCATTTGCTTAGTATATGTTAATATACTTGATGAAAAGTCCATAGAATTTTCCTGAGCAAAACTTACAAAATAATGAATACTTCTTCTATTCTGGGCTAATTTCAAACCATGGCTATCTGGGACCCAAGTTTAAGTAAATTTGCCTTACAGTATAAAAGCTATTTCAATCTTTAAAAATATACCTGAATGAGTTTTGGATTCAAAGTCTGAGAATATCAGTAGCCTAACAAGATATTCTGTATAATAATACAGAGAATTTTCAAGCTAATGTCCCTTCTCTTCCAAAACAGAATATTCTTCCACAAGCTGAAATGTATTTTCCTTGATTCTCTCTGTTCTCTAAGGTAGACTGTAATCCAAAGCTAATGATACTTTAACTATTGATTAAAGGCAAGCACAAAGGAGAACGACGGGGCTTTCCGTGTGTCATCAAACTTGAATACCCTCAAATTTCAAAATATTGCAGGGCTTCTAAGATATAAGACAATCAAGTGTAACAAAGTGTGGACCAGCACACACGAGAGACAGACAAAGCCCAGCACACAGTTAACACAGACTTTAGGAAACAGAATGGTCACAAGGACAATGCAAAGCAAAGGGCGATATAAGAAACACTGAGTCCCTCGTGTCAGACTGAGTATAGAAGAATGCAGCACAGCCAGTAAAACATCATCACGCATTCTCCCCCTTAAAATATAAGAAGCAGCATATATTTGTTTTGTCAATGGAACTTTGGGCTTTTTCCACTGCTGGGTACCTCTGAGAATAAAAATGCCTCTAAAATACGCAACGGAGAAGTCTGGAGAATATTATGCACAGTACAAGCAACTGTCATAAAAGGTTGTGGTTTTCAACACAGCAAGATGAAGCTGCCTTCTTTTACACTTGTTTCAGTATAAATTGTATTTGAAGCTCCCATATTCAAATAAATACTAGTTTAGCCCAAGAATCCAGAATAAACGCTTTGTGAATCCCTTACATGAAGAGTTGCCACTGAATCTGAGAAGCAGGAAGTTAAGCTTTTGTTTTATAGACACATATGTAGAATGTAAGCTCCAAGTGTATGAAATCTTGTAAAGAAATAAAAGCAATGCTTTACTTCTGACAGGTGTTAACTTAAAGCTGTCCGTGTCTTGAATTAGCATTTCAAACCATCACTCAGAACAAGAGGGCTTTATGAGGTGGCCTGAGGATGACAATGTGTCAGGTGTCTGGGTAAATGCAGACAAGTAACACCTTACGCTGCAGATATGGAACATATAATTATAATGAATCGTTCATCAAGAACATGAGAGTCCTGATCTCTTAAAAAAAAAAACAACTCTGCAAGGGAAAATGGACTCGCTCCTTTTAAGATAGTCCACAAAAGAATTTATGCCCAAAGTAGGAAACAGGACACAAGCTGTGTCTTTACTCTTTTCTACTGTGAGAAGATGTAGATACTACCACATGGAACTCAGAATGAAGGCCTCAGAGAAGGCAGACTTCTGTAGTAGTTTTCCTTTTAGCAAACATTTCATTTTCATTCCTTACAAAACTTACAAACACTTAGTAAATTTAATTTATAAACATAAATGTCAAAAGGGGGGATACAAATTCTATTTATCTGTTTATCATTTTCACAGCTTTAGACCTTAGTTAGCCAGCTCATCAATAATCTTCAACCAGTCACAATTTCTATGACACTTGGATAGATTTAAGCCAAATAATAAATAAGTATGGTTACGAATGTTATACATAACACAAACAACAGGTCAGCCGGTATTCCTTTCTAGATTTTGTTGCCTTCATGGCAGGTAGGAGACAATAGGGAAGATAATTAACATATCTTCTCACACATTTATGTAGCACTCTGGTACTGGCAACATATGAGAACAATATAGGACTTAAAAGAGAGAGCAAGAGAGAGAGAGAACGAGAGAGACAGAGAGAAGGGGAAGCCATGAAAACTTAACATCAAAGGTAAATTCATGGTGCATACATGACAGGTTGAAAGGAAACCCAAAAGGCACAAACCTTTGATATGTTAATAAGACAGAAACGAGAAAACAAAAATTACAATATTCTTGCTATTAAGCAACAGGTAGCATTAAAAGACTAAACACACAGGCACACAAAGGAAAAAGGAAGAGTAGGCTTTCTAAAAATTTCTTGTCTTTATATTGGAAATACAGTAGTCAAGCCTTTAAAAACTATATACTATCCAAGATTCAGTTGTCTCAAATTTCACATGCTGCTTTAAAAAAAAAGTTTAAGAGTTTTTATAAAATATATTGTGTAACAATAATCATTTACAATCCACATATATAAAAGGGTTGGTTTATTGTAGTTCAAATACATAAACTGAACCTTCAAACATCTTAAAATTAAACTTTAGAAACAAAAATTCAACATTCAAACAGGAGTAGTTTACAGGGAACACCCAGAAAGGTAATTTTGTTGTCTAATTCAGAATTTCGGTAAAGATCATTCAGCGGAGAATAAAGTATGTTTAACCAGGATTCTATTCTGGCCAACATGTTAGTTATGAATGTGTTCATAACCTGAGAAGAAATTACTAAATAAATCTTCTCCTGGGCTAAACAAGACTTGGCCTCTAACTCAGAGGGGAGAATCAAAGCACGGAAGTAAACAAATACAACTAAACTGTTCTTTAGAGACAAAGGTCAAAGTGTGTCCATCATAATAGTCATAGTCTCCAGAAGAATTCAATTCAGTGTTTTCTCTTTTACCCGCTTTAAAAAAAAAAAATCAAAACAAACCCCAACTTCAGTTTTCTTGGAGTCTGGTATTTGCAAGCTCCAATCACACGCACTCTTGTCTTGCTGAGTAACACTGCTAGTAAGAACACCACCAAGTCACTGACTTCAGAACAGGGTGATTTTTAGCTTCAAGATTTTAAATTTACTAGACAGCCTATATTTGAGTATGTAATGTCAGTCATGCCACACAAAGAAAAGCATTAAATATTTCAAAGTGTCTGTTCAGGGACTGCTCACAATTGCTTCTCCTTCTGCTCATCAGATGATTTTGCAATAGGTTGACTAATGCACATATATGTAAAAACCTGAAAATTTGGCTCATGCAAGCGTTTTCAATTAAAGAGCCCGTGGAAGGGTATTTAGAATTATTTTGTTGATCGTCTAGTGGGCTCTGATGCTGTGGGAGGTGGAGGTGGACCCCGGCGATCCAGGTCATCAACGTAGGCCACGATCAGTTTCCTCCTCTCCTCTGGTACACAGTCCAGTACTAGATACCGTTTGTCATTCTGCAAAATCTTTTCTACATCTTTCAGGTGCTGATCAGATTCTTGGATTAGCTTTTTGGATCTGAAATAAGAAAAAAGAATAGGAATTACTGACTGCTGTTCACTGGCCTTTCAGAATGAGCTGGAAATGTCCATCTAGATCCTAATTGTGTTTCCACTTTTTTTTTTTAAAGAAAAATTCACTGCAGCAGTCACCTTTGTAAATCGCTCAGCAAAGACTCCAACAAGTGAAAGGGCCTCAGAAGCTGAATTACCCTCCCGCCCCTACTGGTGGTCCCTCCAGATCAGGGCTGAGGGTGGGTAGGTAAATCTTGCCCGTGCTGTACCTGTTCTGTGGATGAACAGAGGACTTCAGTCTGCGGGGCTGCCAATCCCAGCATCTTTCACAAGCTTTCACTTTCACATCTTTCACTAAATTAACTATAAAAATGTAGAAAGAAGTCTTACTTCACATCTAGTTTAAAAGCCCAAGCTGATGCAAAACATTAAGGATCCTGACCAAAAAAATCCAAATGACAAAACACCTACAAACCACACCCTCAGCGCTATCTATCCTCCCGTGCACACCCTTCATAAGGTTGTCTTTAAAGGAAGAAATGCTGGAGCATGAAACGTAACTGGTTCCCTGCACACAGACTGTAGGCAACGCCAGACTGTTTTCCTGATCAAAGTTAGTAGTGGTGATGGACTTCTGGGTGTGCTACACCAAAACTTTTTTTTAAGGGCTCTGATTTGTAATTACAAAAAAAACAAAAACAAAAACAAAAAAACTGTATCCAGCAAACTGCTTTCCCAAGGGGGGGAAAAAGGATTTATCTGCCTTAACAAGATGATTTCAGGCATTGACGGTCTAACCATACTCAACAGTCCTCAGAGGAGGCAAAGATAATTCACGGTGAAGGATTCATTTAAAGTTTCTTCGTGAATACAATGCTTAAAGACTTGAGGGTTTTCAAAAAAAAAAAAAAAGCAGTGAAGTAAAAATAAAAGTATATTTTAAAAACTGGATGTAGATAACACAAAATAAGAATTGACATCTGGGCCCTTTCTTTAAAAACAAAAACAACAACAACAACAACAAAAAGAAAAAGGTACTGTGGTCCAGCCTGTATCTGCCCTTGAGGAGAGCTGGCATCTTCTGACTCCTACAGTTAACACTGTCACCGTGTGTGTGAGTGAAAAGTATGCTCTGGCCATTAGAGTACAGGCTAGTGGACAACAGCTGCCAGTGGGACACCTGACTGCACGTACCTGTATGTTATGAATTTGGTCTCTTTCAAAAGCGTCCTGAAGTCAGCTTTGGCAGTGATGTATTTGTCTCTGATGTACTCTTCAAACTCTCTTTGTTTTTTCTGCAGGGATGGGGGAAAATAAGGTTAAAGGGAAAACCCACAAATTCTAAAACAAACAGCTTCCTTATTAAAGCAGTAATCTGTGAGACCTTTAATAAAATTCAGAACAGAAAAAGAAAAGGCAAGGATATGTTTTTCTTCCTATAGAACTTACTGTAGCATATAGATAGCCTGTACATTTTAAAGGAGGAAACACAAGGAAGAGAAAAACCACAAGAGTGTGGAAGCACATTCAACTAAAATGAAATTTGTCTTCACGGTGTCCTCAGCAGGCAAGCACAAGAGAAACAGGGACTAAGGATCAAGCACTGATTTCCTATAGAGTGTATACAAAGCAAGGGGACACTCAGAACATAAACACATACTGCTTTCTGGTGAGGAAACTGCAAGGAAGGTTCTGTCACCCATACAGACCTTGCTATCAATTCCTCGTAAGTAAGGTAAGTTAGGAGCTGACAGTGGGTCTCCTAGCTATCAGTCCTACATATTTTGTGGTCCACATCAAAAACGCAACTTATTAGAGTTCTAAGTTTGAGAAAGAAATTTAGTCTCTGGGCTTTTCAATGTCAGACCCAGAGACACCAATTAGTAACAAAACAGCAAGTAAAGCAAAAGAGACAAATTGGTGTGTTACAGTAAGCTGTTCTGTATTATTTCCTATGTGCGCTTGTTTCCTACACGGAAGCCAGTGTGCAAGAGCTGGGCTCCACTTTTAAAATCTCATGCATTGGACATTGTGCTGCTGTACAGTCTCCTCTACAAGAACTTAGTATCTCACACTGTTTGCCAGTTAACTCAAGAGGGAGGTGCTTTGAAAGCTTAACAATTGTCAGCCCCACGTCTACCTAGCAAAAACTGACTACAGTTTCATTCAACTGGTAAGATCCTTAAACTCCACCTACTAATTAAAATTCTAACTTTAGATTACTGCTTTCTTGTTAATATATGGAGCACGTTTTTTTTTAAATATGTACTTAAAAGCCAGACATGGTGGCACATGCCTTTAATCCCAGCAATAGGAAGGCAGAGGCAGGTGGATTTCTGAGTTCAAAGCCAGCCTGGACTACAAAGCAATTCCAGGACAGCTGGGAAATTTATAGAAAAACCGTATCTCGAAAAACTGTTTGGTAAAACTCAGTTTGATGTTTGGTTAAGGCACTAATGACATGATTATGCTGCACCTATCAATATTTATGAACTTCAAAGTGTATAGTGCACACCTGTAGCCTCAGCACTCTGTGGGCTAAGGTAGGAGGTTTATTAGGATGCCAACCTAAGTTATAGTGACTTCCATGCAAACCCAAGCGTCATAAGGAGATATTCCAAATCCACTTACCCTGTCACTGGAGGAGAACTTAATACACCGAGGATCTTCCTTAATTATTTTTTTTACTTCTTTCCATGTGGATGTTAAGGTGATCTTTGGAAAAAAAATAAGTGAAGCAAAACATAAATACAATTTTCTTTTATTCAGGGAGTCAAACTGCAGCACA